AGCGAAAACGACGCGGCTAGTTCAATTTTCCTGCGTTCTGCACAGCATCAAGTTTTGGAAAACAGTATTACGAAGCTCGTTATAACGCCAGCAGATAGCGCGCAAGTTCTCAAACTCCTTATCAGCAATCCCACTGTTTCGGCTTATCTTATAAGCAAGACTGCCGGCCTGATAGACACGTCAGTTGCGTAGCAGCGTCTTCAAACTTCCCGTCCAGTGTACTGAACTCTGACGTGTATAAAGTGTACGCTTCTAGGCGATAGAACAGCAAACGGACTTCGTGAAACACGGCCCAAGGTTATTTTGTATTCCTCTGATATTTATTCGTCTCACATTATGAAAGAACAGGATGGTGAGAGGAATAACCAGACGAATCACAGATTAAGAAATGAACAAATGCACTGAAATAAAACCTCCGGTTCCATAAAAGACAAAATAATGATTAGCTGAGACACTGTCAGCTTCTAAAGGATTCTATACCGTGTAGCTACTTTAGTGATGCATTATACTTGTAAGACACTATTAAAGTAAAAATTGCATGTGTTAATGAGATTTCATCTGACACGACGAAAAGTTTGTGAGGACATCGATATTTAAGCATCATAGAAAATGGAAGTTCTGTGGGACGGATACGAAACACAACAGAATTCGACCCTCACATCCTGTACCAAAAGGACTGCAAATTTCTTAAATAGTTGTGGGATATTAAACTTGTCGACTCATAGAAGTACAGACATAAGCGTTCACTTTAAGCACCGACAGCGTACCACTCAAGCAAACTGCAACGAGATGATACATACCCACTAATTAACTAGATGGCTTACCGAACCTTAAGGTTCATCACCGAATTAACCAAAGCCCTCCACCGGACCCTGTCCTAGGCCAACAAAATCCAGTTTCCTTCAGCTCCTATCTCCCATAAATCCCGCCTGAGATTATCCTTCCTTCTACTTCTAGGTCTCCCCAGCGGTCTCTTCCCTTCAGGTTTCCCAACCAGTACCCGAGTGAGAGACCATGTTTCGCACCCATACAAAACAACAGGCAAGATTATTGTTTTGTATACTTTAATTTTCAGGTTCTTAGAAATCAGAAGGGAAGACAAAATATTTTGAACTGAGAAGTAGCAAGCATTTCCGGAATTTAGTCTCCTCCTAACGATACGTATCCACAGTCAGTGAAAACAAGACTCATGGAAAGTTGTCTATATACGGGTTTTGAAAGTTTTTGTACCATAATGAAATAAGGTTTCGCGTCCGTTACAATAACAACAACAATTACGTCGTGTTTCATTTCTTTGAAAGCTCGCATCAAGCCCTTCTTTTGTCTCGACATTCACGCACCACGCGGTGAGAGAGGGAATGAATTCACGCAGCCTTGAAACCGGGCAATCGTAACAATAAAACCCGCAGATAAACACACGAACGCCTGACTAGCTTTTGTCTGAATAGTAAAAAGAATTAATCTGTTTTTGTGTAAACATTTTCGTGGAATTGCAAACAACGCTCAGGTCCGAGTTATTGTCGCCTGAACAATGGGTAATTGCTGTAGACTGTGGAACAATGTGGCCGCGTCCCAATCTGCCGACTTTTTACGGGCATTCCTTATTTTATCCACAATGTAATAATGTTTTACCAAACCTTACGCTCCACAGAATGTCTGTGGAACAGGTAGAATTGTAAAATCCCTATCCAATCAGCACGCTACTTGATGCACACCGTGTAGACTTCCTGACACCAACGAAGTTACTACCCAGAACAAAGACATCTTTAGCGTAGTGAGAACCTCAAATGAAAGTAGATGAATTCATGTCATTCTAATATCTGTGCATACTTTCTACAATTTTTGTTTCTGAACCAAAATTCTGTTTGAATTTGTTCCACCTAATTACAATATCTGCAGTGATGCTACCCAAGATGGCGCCTTCCTTTCAATCTGCATCATATACTCAATCATCACTTCAGCTTGTAACTTTATATGAAAACTATAACTTTATTTTTTAAAAAAATAAGATGAAATAAGGTATTTGTAAGAATTATTTTTTTAAAGTTTCCTCTAAAGTGAGTTTTGTGGACTCGTGTTCTTTTTAAAGTGACCTATTCAATTGTCCAAACCGGCAGTAGACAACCCGCAAAATTTTGAATTTCCGAATACGGTTTCACTTTGTTTCACTAACGAAAACAAAGTTGGAACATTTAAAAATATTCTCAGATAATTTTTATTTGGTGTGGAAGAAACCGCTCTACTTTCCTCATGGCGTGCCATGCATTTAAATAACAACACACGTTATAAGAATATTTACGTCGATACTCCTTAATGGCTTTCACGACGTGTGTCTGTTTGCTGTCGAGTGTCCACGGAAGAGGGACGAAATCGACGTGTGTCTGTTTGCTGTCGAGTGTCAACGAAAGAAGGGCGAAATTATTCACTTATGGATAAGAGATACATTTCTATGAAGACTATTGTGTTCTGAGATTTTGCGCCATGTGAGAGCGATATCGCCCTGATTATGGAGGCAGTAGGCACCTCTACCAGACTACACGGCGCAATATCCCAGACGACAGCCATCTTCAGATACACCGCCGTGAGAGACTTAAATCTCACCTGATTTAGTATATTTTATACGTGAGTTTTGTGAAAATACGAACGCATTTATTTTTAAATACTTTTTGGTATTTTAGGCATTTTGGTCACAGCAACATAAAAATATAGCCAATAAGATTTAAATATTATTCAACATTTTGCTCGTGTTACTGGCCGGTTTCCGAGCCCTTCAAATTGGCCCTCGTGACAATAACAGAGTTACTGTTGCACTAGGGATATTTGATTTCCATAACAACAGAAGCACTGTCAATAATCCCACACAGGTTGATTAGGACGGGCCCCGTAGGGACAGAGATCCCCTCGATCCGTGTTTAAACACAGATTTGGGTCGCAGTCGCCATTACAATGACCGTTCATTAATTACCGCTATTGTCCGCTAGGATCGCTCCATGCGACGAGAAATAGCCACAGTTGTCGCAGTTTGTCTTGTGCATTCAAAGGACGTCATGGTATACTAACTGATCCAAAAACATTTGCGCTTCTGAATTAATAAATTAAAATATGCTCTGAAGTTTGATAAAGGTTTTCACCGACTTAAATGTTCTACTAATCGAGATATTACACATACACGAATCTATATTTTCGTACTTTATTCTGTCGATTTGAAAACTCAGAAAATGTTTGGTTGTTTATTTAATAACACTGCATATT